AATCACAACCAGACTCCACTGAGCCCCGAGCTGCAACCCATGGGACAGCTTTAGTGCACCTAAACGCTGTCCCATGTCTTCCTTCAGTATGGTTGTGAGTTCTGGCGTCACCGCCGTGTTCCCCGGTGGAGCAGGAAACTCCCTTCAGTCCCTAAATCTCAACAGCCGCCCGCTCCACCAGCTAAATGTGGAGGCACTTCTGCTCTCAAATGTGCGCCTCATCTTACAAAAGACAAAGATAAGGATTTGTGTCTGTTAGTTTAGGTCCTGACCAAAGTCTTTATTTCATGAAGGAAGCCCGAGCTCTAATTGTTCTTAATTGGCTTTTTAGTTTTATTTATTGCACTTATTGGAGTAGAAAGGCAGAAATGTTACTGATCGCCAAATCTTCCAGTTTCCCAGAGTGTGAAAAATATACTTTAAAAAGGTGTCAATTTGTTCAAGCTGCAGTGACTTGCAGACTTCCTGGATTCTCCATGGATCATAGGAAAGAATTAAAATACTTGAACAGCAGTATCTTATTTCCAAAGAGAAGCTTGTGGTGGCAAATCTGAATGTTGAATAAAGGGACGTTTTAATTCCAAATTCAATCTGCACAAACCAGGACTTAGCTGGCGCCGCTCTCCGCTCTGGTTCAGTTAGACGTGGATGAATCAGACAGCGAGATCTCTACGGTGCAGCCGACGCACTCTGCAGGTCTCTGCGTTTTACAGCAGTCCAGCAGAAAAACATACAGGAACATCCCGACCAACAACTGCCAACACACACACACACAAACTGCTGCTTTCCTTGACGTGCATCAACAGCAGCAAACAGAGTCTCCGCCCCTTTGATCCCCTCTGCACAGCCGGACGACATCACCTAAAATCTAAAAACATTTAACCTCGATTATGATTAATGAACGATTATTTTGTTTTGGGGTTTTTTGCCTTCATAGTTCACTGACAAGCTTCGTAAATATGCACTATTAAAAAGAAACGTTAACTGATAAGTAATGTGCACAGATGAGTTCCCCCTAAATTCAGAGCATCGCTGCTGCTGAATTACGACCACGCCTACTAAAGTTTATTTACATCGATGCACAACTCATGGCGCTTGACGCTTGCGAGCATCCTCTCCTCAGAACCTCTACCCGACGTTAGAGGCACACAGGACCGTATCTTAGATATTAACAGTATTATTAGTAATACTGTGTTATTTATCTATCAGCCAGTGTCAGCTCGTCAAAACTAAGATTATCCTGCTTTTCCTGGAAGTTTTAGGATCCACTTTAGATTCTGGGAACTTTGAAAAGGAGTCAACATTTAGTTTCACTGCGAAACAATAAATAGATGAAGGATGGTGAAAAGAACAAACCACCCGACCCCGCTGAAATCTGGTCAAAAGCCTTGGAGGGGTTCTGATCCAGACCTGTTGTGGTCCGGTCCCACTTGGCTGTATTTATACTCAGCGCTGGTTTTCTCCTTCTGGAAGAACTGGTTCAGACGGGCCTTGGCGTTTCCAGAGTCCAGTTGCCATGGAGATTAGCGTTCAGGTCCACCTCCTCGGACTCCAGCGTCTGCAGGGATCAAACGGGGTCAGATACGTCCGATGAACCAGCACGTGTTTTATATTTTGTCAAACTAACAGGAAGTACCGTACCGCCTGCGCTTCCTGTTCGTCTCTCTTGGCGTAGTACTTCAGGTTGGCTCCTCGGTCCCACTGAGCTCCTCCTCCTCCTCCTGCTGCTGCTCCTCCTCCTCCGCTCCATCCAGAGTTTCCTCCTCCAGAGTAACCGAGTCCAGTCACTCCTGGTACTGGTCCAGTGCCGCCGCTCTCTTCTAACAACAGCAGACACACACATTAATATTTTTACGTTCTACGTGTCTCCTGCTCAACCAGGGAAAACAAGATGGTGGATCAGGTCGCACCGACATGCAGATAGAGGGAAGAAACTGTGTGAAAATATCGCGATTACAGTCTAAGATGATCACAGTCATCAGAATTATTCTTGTGCTGAGAAGAGAAGAGCCTAAAACCTGCGACTCCAGCAGCTGCAGAAAGAAGTCTGTGAGAAAATGTTTCTACTTGTCAGCTGATTTATTCCCTCAGTAAACACTTTCCTGATGAGTTTCTGGTCTCAGTCTCTAGTTTCAAGTCTTCTTCAACGCAGCATGATGCTCATTTAGTAAATTATGGTCCCATTTAGAGGAACAGAGACCAGGAAGCAGGGGAGGCTTTAGGGCGGGGCTACAAGCTGATTGACAAGGCGACTCGTATCCGCTGCTCTGTTTAACCAGCGCCGCTGAAAAAGCTCATCAGGAGTCGGCTGCTTATTTTTCAGTGAGTACATTTTATTTTAAGCCTGTTTGTCGCTAGCTAAAATTAGCCTCCCAGCTAACATCACAGTTAATGTTGCGTTACAGCACCTTGCTAACCAAGCTAGCTAGCTCCACCCTCTCGTCCAAATATGGTCACGTCCAGTTCCAAAACACCAAGATGGCGACGGCCAAAATGCCAAAGTGCAGGCTTCAAACGGCGGCCCATACACTAACGGGTGACACCCACTTTGTTTTACAGTCTGTGGCTTCAACACAAACTGAAACCATTTAACTAGTTTTACATTGAATGCAGCACTTTTTATAAATATTAAAACAGCCAACAGCTCATGGAAACATTAAGACCAAGTCGTGAAGATTAACTGTTATAGAGCACGAGCCCGTGCACGGTTTCAGTCAAGGAGTCTTGTGTTTGATGGACTCTGTCAGAGATCAGAATACCTTTCTCAACTTTGACTACCAGGTGAGGCGGCAGTGGAGCGCCGGAAGGGAGGTTTCCAAAGCTCCCACCTCCACCTCCTTCTGCTCCTCCTCCTCCTCCTCCATCCAGCTGGTCGCCATCTGGAGCGCTCGCCTGGTGACACAAACTCAGATTCAGCCTTTGAACAACGCTTCACTCTGTGACCTCTTTTACAAACTTTCTGTCTGAGATATAATGTCCTGCGTTAGGAGTGACGCAGGTACGATGCACGGGGTCTGAACCCTTAAACACACCGCGTCTCCCGTTAAAGCGGCCCAACTGTGGCATAAATCTTTAACACTCAGAACATGTTCATGAGGACCACAATAAACCCCGCCCCCTCGCTACGTCAGGCGTTTACTGCCACAGCTGTAACTCTTCCCAGTGTTTCAGTCGGGTACTAATATATAAACCATGTAACGACAGTAGTGAGGCGCTAACCCCCAGAGCCGGGACCTCTGCTGCGCTCATTTCCCCGATTCGGACCAGGTAGTTGACAAAGTCCCTGGCAGCGTTGGTCTGAGCGTCCCTCTTGTTGGTGGAGTTGCCCATCCCGATGTAGTTGAAGCCATCGACACGGACCTGCAGGGGGGAGTTTAGGGTCAGACAGGTGGAGACAGGCAGCCCCTTCAAATCAGAGTTTAGCTACAGGAACAGTCAGTCAGACAGAAAACTCACCTCGCACATGAACTTCTGCCTGTTTTTGTTCCCTGCTGCTCGGATGTCGTAGTTGGGAGTGAGCTTCTTCTTTCCACACCAGGCGTACAGGAAGTTCTTGATGTCCGCCATGGTGGGGGTCCCTTCCTGTGTAGACCCTTTAATCTGAGAAATTAAAAACTCCTGTCAGTTTCAAAGTTAACGCTAATACCCTTTACGGTTCAGATACGATGCAGTTACTGTCATATGTTTCTGTACACCTGCTGTGTTTTAACACACATCAACAGAAGCCTGTCAGATAAGAATGTGACTACTGAAAGGCGACTTAGCTAATCTAAAAACCGAAAGTAAGCATTTATTGTACATATCTGTTGGACTTGAGCTACCTAAAATGAGCTACTAAAAAAACAAATCACTACATACGAAACAACCAAACTCCATCCATAAATCTGTAAATTTTCTGCTTTGTGATTTAGGGGAAATACTCGACTGTAATGTCATGATTTAACGTTTTTTTTTGACTAAATAACATCTTATATCGTTTCGGGATAGTAATTATGACCGAAAGATCGCACATCACTAAGATATTTCAACAAAGAACCGTGCAAATAAATAAAAGACGCTCGCTTTAACTTCCCAGATTTTCCCATGGAGTTTGGTTTAGAGTTCTAGTCGAACAATCTGAAATCATACAGCCAGACAAGGGCACAATATGGATCTTACGTTTAATTCATGAACATTAACAAGTTACTGGGTTTCATTTAAATCCGTTCATGCACAGCAGAAAGTTTGCAGCCAGCGTTAGCATCAGGTTAGCTTAGCTTCGTTAGCAAGCAGAACCTTCCTACTGTGACGTTAACAATCAATTAACGCAGCGTTTTGCTAAACACAAGGGTCATTCCCGCAACTCCTCCTACTTTGTACGTGTATGAATTTAAGTTTATTTAAGCAACGTTTATAATAAATAACTGAACTGAAGATTGAACCTCAGCTAACGTTAGCTCGTTGCTAGCTAGGGTTATTTGCTCTAGCACCCTTTTTTGCCATGTTTCAGTAACAACTACAGCAATAAGACGATTACATAAACATATACATGTGTTAACAATAACTTTATTACCCAAAATCAGTCCAGAGAAGCCAACAGTTCCTCCAGACACCGAAGGTTTACCGTCGTATCCGTGTTTCTGAAAGGCGACCTGCTAAGTAGCTTCTCCGCCAGGAGCACCGCCTGCTGGGCTGGAGGATGAACCTTCTTCTTCTGCTTCTTCTGCTTCTTCCAGTTGCAGCACAGTTACAGTTTTCCCAGTGCAGTTAAAGTTTTCTATAACTCTCAGATGGTGAAAACCCTCAGTGTAATGTAAAAAGTCTGCTTGCAGCATCCAGTACCATCTTAATCCTCTCTGACTCTCAACAACACAATTTACCACCATGGCAATAAATATTAGAAATCTCTTCATGCAGATCAAATTCTGAACATCTCCACTCCTTTTTATTTTTATTTTATTCACCGCTCAATCCTAATTTCGGTGAATGACAGACCCTCTGCTGCTCTGACCTTTCTCACTTCTATTTCTTCTGATCTCTTCGGACCCTGCGTGGTGATTTCCTGCACAGTGTGTGCATTTTGTTCACTCCTCCCTTTCACAGTTGTCCTTCCCACATGTTCTGACACTATGTCCATGTTCCCGACAGCAGAAACAGTGGAGCTCTTGGCCTCACCGTATGAGTATAGTCCAAATAAATGCTTTCTGATAAACTTGTTCTCCCCTGGCCAGAGTCTTGTCAGTCTTTATGCCCCACAAACATCTTCTGAAATGCCTCAGTCTCCACTGAAAACGTTACGCCACTTAGGCTGTTACGCTGACAGGAGTGGGACGCAGGTCAAACAGCTATGGTCTTTGCACTGTTTACAGCTTTTCTCAATTGATTTGGCACATTTACTGAAACAACCAATCCTCAATGCATTCTGAACACTATGAACATGACATCTCTGTAAATCTATCAATGAACAAATCAGTCGGTTACTTTATCATTGCTTAGACGAGACGGCCAAAATGCAAAGAGATCTTATCAAATGCCTCTGAAAGTGTGATGGTCACCCACCACGTAACACCGCTTATTCTGTATTTTTAGGCAGCTGAGTAGTCTTGATGTCAGTCATCGCACACACTATACTCTACGAGACGAGAAGATTTGTAGCACTATTTTAAAGAAGTAGTTGATAGTGAAATAAATCAGAGGGAGGTCTGCGGGTCCTCCCCGAGTAGATGTGGAGCATTAAACTCCTAACAATGGTGGAAACTATAACTATATTTAAATTTCATTGTATGTTTTCTCATTGCACAAATAAACCTTTTCTCAAAGCATTTTCATTTCTTGGTGCTATTTTTCAGAATAAATGCTTTCAAAAAGTGATGGGGACAAAATCAGCCATTATAAAATGTGGTGGGGACATGTCTCCAGACACCTATGGTGTCAATATATCATTTTAAATTACATATTGTCTTGTTGCAGAGACGTCCTGGCCTACACATCATATTCTGCAGACTTAAGAAAACCTCTTTGTTTGAAATTCATAGAATCAATAGAAATCATATCAGAATTATTTTAGTTTGAGAATATTGCTGTAAAAATGATCATTTCCCTTAATATTGCAAATCATACTGCAATATCAGTCAATATCAATGCAATTAGATAACTCTTTTCAGCGTTAAGACCTAATTTTAATCATATGTTTTTAGTTATGATCAGTTAGGAACAACAAGCACAGTGATGGTAAAAATGTAGTTTTGAAATATAGAACAAAATGTCATGTTGTGAAAAACTACGCACATACGTTACAGTTTTTCTCATTTGCTAAGACACTAAATGAAACTGGGACATGCTTGATCTTCATCATCACATTATTAGCACAGCAGAAGTCCCTTCTGAGTCTTTTGTCAGGTTTTTCTGAATGAGAACAGGTAATTCAGAGCGTTACTGTAATGTAAACCACTGTGTAGTTCAGCTTTACTGTATTGCCCTGTTAGCAGAACAAACTGTGTCTACAGTAATGCAGGTGTTTTATCAATCCCATTCATATTGACATGCTTTTTGCTTTTACTTTATAGAATCCACACACTGGTGGCAGAGGAAAGATATTTAGTGTTGAACAGGAGTCTGCCATTGTAGATATGGCAAAGAATGCAATCAGACTGCGTGAAATCCAGGCAGCAGTAATCGCAGATCAGGGAGCATTTAGAAATATAAACAGTGTGAGTTTGGCAACTATAGATCGAGTCCTTAGACAAAACCACGTCAGAATGAAGCAACTGTACAGAGTGACATCATGAAGGACGCACGATTTGTTATGATACCTTGTTACCATAGTTACATGCGACTGGAATAATTTGCTTTATGAATTTGCTCTTTTTCTTAGAGAATAGTGGAGCTTGGAGCTGAAGGGGCACATCACAAATTCATTTTTGTGGACGAAGCCGGCTTCAACCTCTGTAAAGTGAGGAGACGCGGGAGGAACATCACTGGGCAGAGGGCCACCGTCAGACGGGTGCCAGTATCACCATGTGTGCCGCCATCTCCAATGATGGGGCCCTTTACCAAACACCAATATACACTACAGAACGCCTCATCACATTTCCTGATGCATTGAAAGAAATATTGATTCCACCCGAAGAGAGAGGGCTGTTGAGGCCAATGAATGATGGTTGCCTGGCAATAGGTGCAGAGGACTGCCAGGGATGGATACGCCACGCGAGGAGGTATTTCCCTCGGTGCTTTGCAAAGGAAAAAAATTCAATGCGATGTTGATGAGAACCTGTGGCCTAATCGTCAAGAATGAATGGACTAAATGTGAAAGATAAAATATATATATATATATTTTAAAGGTATTTCTACCCATATGTTTCCTTTGGTGGCTTTTTTCCCCCCAGTATCCATTTGAGTTTGTAATGTGTGTCTATCTATCCATTGTGTAATGACTGAAAGAGTAAATTACCACAAGTTGTGGTGTTTGATGGAAATATATGTGAGTGTTCGAGCATTTTGCTAACAAAATGAGTCATTTTGGCCATTGAGCTTCAGTTTTATCCTGTGTGTTAACTGTTTTGAAAATGTGATGTCAGAGTGGGCAAATGTGTTTAAGCAATCGAGGAAAAACTAATGTGTCTATGAAGATTCTCAGTCATCCAGGTCATAGTTATCCAACGAAGGTTAAATGAAGGGCAACTGGACTTGGTTGAAGCTTCAACCAAGTCCAGTTGCCCTTCATTTAACCTTCGTTGGAAAAACTAATGTATTTCTACTGTAAGATAACCACTAATGATAGACAGAGAGAGGGATTTGCAGTGGTTTGCATAAAATAAAATCACAGCTCAACTTACTCAAAACATGTACGAGGTATAAAACAATTAAAATAACTATTCATTCTAACTGCTATGCTGATGTATATAAATAAAAGTCGTGTGCCTCTGGCTGTATGTGCGTCAGATGAGTGTAGAAGGGTGTGTGTTGTTGTTCAGAAGAGTCTCTGGCCCAGAGGGGAGTGATCATATATTTTTATTGCAGTGCTTTGTAGTTCGTGCAGAGGACGTGAAGTGTGATCCATACTAACTTATCTCCACCACCAGCTCTCTCTGTAACTGTAGAAGTACAACGTGTCCCTCTGAAATGTAAACACACCAGTATCTATGTACTTGAGTAAATATTCTCAGGTACATTCCACAGATGCACGCTTGTGTAGCTGAAAAGTGAACTCAGAGTTGAGAAATGCAGCTCTCAGATCCATCCAGGTGTTGATGCGGTGTGTGTCCAAGGTGTGGTGTTGACAAGGTAACGGGAACAAGTTGGGCGTGGCGTGTGTATTAATGCCTGCGGCGGTGTATTTGTGCAGATTAGCGGTGGGGAAAGTGTGTGATGGATCATGATGTGTGAGTGCGTCTGGGCTTCAAGGCGTGGCTGGCTGCTGCGTCCTAACCTCAGCCTCAGGATACAGTTTACTGAGCGTTCGACGAGAACAAACTTTCAGGGGCGTTTAACCTTGGCAACACCCGGTGTGTCCAAACACAATGAATTCGCAGAGTAACGGATTCAGTAGCGGTTGAACAATCACGAGGAAAGTTAAAGCAGTCTGGTTCTAGCCTGTTATTCTTTTTAGTCACTGATATGTTGTGTTTATTCAACAAGTCCTCCATCCTAAACACCACACATATGAGTGTTAACTACGTTACGTAAGTCACGTGACGTTAAACACATGGTTAGAGTTGTGAAACAGTCGCAGTTTAGTTAGCTTAAGGCAACAAAACTACTTGGTTGGATTTAGGAAAAGATCTGGGTTTGTGTTAAAGTAAACTAAGAATACAGAAACACTACAGAAGTTGAAACTAACTCAGCCCTTACTTGGTTTTACGTGGGACTGAAATGTCGTTCTCCTGAGCGAAAGTCTGGGTTTGACTCATCCTGCCTCTTATGGCCCAATAATACTCCTGCGTAGAGGCTACGCCGTAGCCGTCGGTGTCTCTGTCATCTGCAATTACACCCCCAAACGCTAGTCGGCAGTAGCGCTACAGCGTCCACTGTGTTGACTTTTGCCGGGCGAGCAGACTAACTTCCAGTTTAGGCGTCCGCTAACGTGTAAAACTGTAAACGTGCGGCTGGTGTAGCCTTTTCAAATGTTACCAACCAAATGGATCACATTCTGATTTGGGTTGTGGCGCTCAAATATATCGATCCACGTGTTACAGCCGCTGGTTTGGCGGCTAGTAAAAGTTGCTACAAAGCACGGGGCACTTCCTGACGGCTCGGAG